ACACACTATGAGATCTTCAGGCTTGGCGATTTATGGATTCGTATTTCCTCTACAGGGCGCTATGTCGCCAAGCAAGGCTTGTGACAGCTTTTTCTTCTTCTTTCCTATGGATATTGATGTGGCTGACTTTGATATTATCTGGCGATTATTGTCAGCACCATAAGATCATATCCCCTTCATTCATCTCACATTTGCAAAATTTGCTCAACTCACAAAATTTGCTATGGTTGTAAAAGGGAGTCTCTCCACGAAACTTTAAAAAAAGAATTAAAAGTCAAGGGGCCTTTCAAATGATGACACTTTGAGGGCAATTCTCCCCACCCCCACCTTGCAGCAGGGAGCTCAGCAACTAAGCGTGAGCACAAGCCTATTGCACTTGTGGTCCAGGGAACCACTCACCTGCCACTCATGCCTGAGCCTTGGTGTGGTCACTTCCTCTTCTCTCTGGGCTTCACCTGTGTCTTGATTTAACCAAGAGAGTGGAGAGGAAGCTGGCTCTGAGCTTGAAGATGGCCTAGCAGCCCCTATTCAGCGCATTAGGGAGCCCTCAACTGCCGTGCAGGAAGCCAGAAACAGCTCATGAGAGATCATGCGGGGAGAGAAAGAGGCCCCGGAACACCATGGAGGAGGGAGACCCCTTTTTCCAGGGTCTCTGCCAAAGCACTAGACACATGAATGGAACCATTGTGGACTGTCCAGTATTGGCCACCGTCTCACTACGGCTACCACATGTCAGAGCCCAAACAAGCCCATCAGAAAAACTGCCCGGGTTAATTCTGGCCAGCCCATGGAGTAGTGAAAAACATTTATTTATTTTTTAAACTAGTTATTGTTTTAAATATTTGCCTGGGGAATCATTTCTGAAGATGCATGATGATTCAGATGACTTTAACCTCAGTGACTTACCTTTTCCATCCCCTTCAGTCAACAATGTCTATTTCCATCAGTCCTCTTCCCTAATGGAAAACATAGTCAGTTCCCTAACTAGAGAACATGGCCGTGTTAACTGAGTTTCCACCTCCCTGCAGAAATTCTTTAAATCAGGCTGGAGTTGAAGCCAAGTGCATAAGTGGACCGGAGGATCCTAATAGGAAGTGATGTGTAAAAGAGTTAGAAATCCAAACACATTACTGTGGCTGCCGCCACTGCGCCAGCTTCTCCTGCTGGCGAGCAGACGGCACTTGCTCTTCAAAGCTCAGTTGCCAACAGAAGGTCAAAGCGCTGTGCCTCCGTACAAGGCTTACAAATTTGGGATCTTCGGTATGATGTCATGTCTTAAAATGATAAGCTCGGGCCAAGGAGAGAAATGGCATCTTGCAAAGAACGTGCACCGTGCTCATGTTTACGCTACTTAAGATGAAGGTTCTAATAAGTCACGGGCTACGTTGCTTTAAAGGGAAGTTTTATAACTGAGATGAATCACAACTGCAGAAGATCAAAGTTGAAAAACATCAATGATGCCATGGGGTACTTTTTAATCTTGTAATGAGTGATGATCATGTGCTCTTATGAAGTGAGTCCAACTGCCAACGCCAGATGTGTATATTAAGAAAGGGAGTTGTTTGTGATGCGACAGTCCTGGCCCAGCTGCCAGAGACAGAAAACACGGAAGGATGAGTCCTGTCAGTTTTGACTGAAAAGCAAGTCTTGGCAGATATGTTGTTGATAAGGAGGGCCCCAGAGTGGGATTCGGGTGTCACCCAGTACCCTGCCTGGGTATGGTGATGTAGCACACAAAAGTGTTGCTCTTCAGTCCTGCACAGCTTTCCCCGGGCAGTGTGATATAAATATCTGCTCAAAGCACCATTTAGAACACGGATCAGTGTCATTTACTATTGTGCGAAAATTAGCAAAGCTTTATTCAAGGGAGAAAAACAACACAGTGGAGTGCAGATTACATGGCCCCTGTTTCCTGGATGTATACAGTAAAAAGTCTTCCAAAACCTCCTGACAGTGGAGAAGGCCAGTGAGGTAATAGCTGACATTTCACGAGCACTTCCTACGTGACAGCTGCTACGCTACCTAGTTTACATACCACGTATCGTTTAACATTCTCACAGTAACTGATGCGGAAGATAGTATTTTCATTAGTCTTCAATGATGAGAAAAATAAGGCCAAGTACAGTTGGGGACCATGTCTGTCTGCAAAGCGGGCAAATGCTGGCTTCAGGATTTTAGACAAGCGCCCTGACAGGCCCAACTAGTGAACTCAGAATGTGTCCTTATCCAGCCATCTGGACCATTGGAAATAATGATTTCAGACTACACTCAGGTCTTTAAGGGAAGAGCAGGGAATCCCATTGATAAACCGGAACCAATAGCACAAAGTCCCCCAGTCCTTCAAACAACTCAAGCAACAAACAGAAATATGCTACTTTGATGGCAAATTACAGCTACTTTGGGAATTATAACTGGAGGGAAGATAAACTGGACCAATTATATTGATTATCATTTTCGCTGTGTGTAGGGAAGTCCTTTACTACAAGCCTTTCTCTGTTGGTGGCTGATAAAATTAGACATTTTGAAATCTAGAGAAAGGATGGAAAACTACAATTGGTGGGCCACCTCTGGCTCACCACTTGTTTTTACAAAGTTTGGATATTTTTTTAAATGATATATTTATTATTATTTCTGTGTATGTGTGTATGCCTACGTGAGTTTATAAGCACCATGTGAGTCACCTAATGTGAGTGTTGGGAGCCAAACCAGGGTCCTCTACAAGAGCAGTAAGCACTCTTAATTGATGAGCCATCTCTCTGACCCTGTAAATAACGTTTTATTTAAACACTGCTGTGACCGCTTGTTTGTGTATTGACTTAGACTGCTTTTGCAGTAAAATGGCAAAGTTGAGTCCTTGTGACAGATGGCCAAGAAGCAAGGTAGAAGGATAGAATCCAGCATTGACCAATTTGTAGGGTTAACCAGTGACTGATCCCAGATACACCCCTACATTCAGGTAAGTGGCCATTCGGTGGCAGGAAAATGTCATTGCATATCCAGATAGCATTAATTTTATAAAAAATACTACAAGGACCAATGTTCTTCCACTCCTAGATCTGTGTCTGCTTCCCATCCTCCCTGAGGACTACCCAAAGAATGAACTCAGATCACACATACAGCATGTATCTGCTATTCCGAGGCCTCATGGCCTTCAGGGCACTTGTCTGTCTTTGCAGATCAGTAGATCTATCAGCTAATTCATGCTGCTCCCTCCCCCCCCAAAAAAAAACTTTTGAAATGAGATCCTGCCATACACTGGAATCAGAAAGCCATCAGCCTGCTCACCTTCTTGCCATCTCTTTTAGAACAGGATGGCACTAACCCTTCCCTTCTTCTCTGCTAACCATCAAGTCAGAAGCACCCATCTCCACTCTAAATACGCATACCCTCAGACAGACACACACAACACATACCCCAGACAGACACACACAATAATGGTTTTTCTATGCACGGAAGAAAGCAGCTGGGATGGGCAGGAACCAGCATCTTTCAAAGGCAAATATTAGTGGTGTTGAATAAATACTAAAGGCTATTGTGCCACTTTATGCATCAGGAAAATGGGAATGACTCTTCAGCAAACCAAGGGCTTGTCGGGTAAATGGTTGGAAGATGTCTTGCCTCAGAAGGAAATCAACCATGATTTATGGCAGTCCAGAAAAGGCTAGCAAAGCCCAAACCAGCTAAGATATTCCTGAACTGCTCTCTTCCTCTGTGCTGCATGACCTCTGACCCTTGAGACTAAAGATTTAGAGGCTCACACACACACATACACACACACAAACTAAAATATCTAATAGGGCATTCCCAAACTGAACAGACAGGGCCAGCACTGACCCAACATTAGGAATTTGGAAGGAAGCCTTACACATGAAAGGAGGAGGAAACAATTCTTAGATAGGAAACTTCCCTCACTCATCCAAGCAGTCAGCCTTTGTGACAAAGACAGCAGCATAAGGGTCAGGAGCTCCTAGAGGATCCCATTGCTAAAAGATACACAGCATGGGTAAAGGCAAAGCCATCTAGGACTCCTCTCTTCAAAGGAAGGAGAGAGTCCAGCCTCACTATCTGGGTATCATCATAGAACAAATGCTTCTGTCTCTGTCTGCCCCATCATAAGCCAAATTTACCTTCCTAACTGCAGTGCCTAGGACTCCAACATATTCAGCTAGCAAAGGCAGAGCTTTCTATGATATTTATTACAAGGCACAGAACTCTTCACACTTCAACTTTGAATAACCTTTACACTATAAATATATTTTAATGCTGCTATGCCAAGCTTACTCAAATCAGTGGGGATGGCAGGAGCACGGAGCAAAAGTCAATCCGGTCTGATCCAGATTCAGGAAGAGAATAAATATTGGCCCAGAGAGTAAGTTCCCTACCTTTGGCTGACTACTGGATAAAACTTTGCAATAGACAGACAAAGAAACCAAGGTGGACTTAAACCTAATTTGTATCTCTTGTTAAAGGAACTGTCTAGAACAGTTACTAGAAAATGACCAAACAACAGTGTTGTAACAATGAAACAAGTTATCATTTACAAATAAATCCTTTGTAATTAAGCCCTGTGCTCTTTATAAAGGGAACTGAGTGGGCGAGCTAAAACGAATTCTTGGGCCATGGGAAACACACACAAATGCTTTTTGACTAAGCTTTTGATTTTTAAGTTTATAACTTGCTTCCTCGGCCTTGGTGGGTCTCTGTGGCCCTGCCCACCTTACAGAATGGGGGAACAGAGTTTCTTAGCTAAACATTATCGTGACTGATTAGCTATCTGCTTGTTCCCCAAAGTAATACAGCCTAAAGCAATTCTGTGGGGAAGGTTAATCTATTAACTGTAAAGTTCTATTAACTGTCCCTTCCTAAAAAATACATGCAAAAATATGACAAAGTTACAAAAGCCATATGCAGTGACAGTTTTACTAACTCCTTCAGAATAAATTCTTCTCGGGGTCCCCACAAACACTCTTAGCATCTTCAATAGAAAGGCCAGTACTTACTTCTTGGTTCCCGGGGACCATCCACTGTCACTTTAATTGCTCTATGGTAAGTGGCCACTTGTGGAGGATTTGTGAAGACTGTTATGGTCAAGGTGAAACTCTTGCCTGCAGATGTAAGAGAGAGAAACACAGTGAATACAAACGGGTGATACTGATGAGCCTAGAATAATATAGACATCCAAATTTCTCCGAAGAATCTCCGAGATATCGTCAATCAGGAAGCATTCCTGTAAACCACAAACCCTCTGATGGCCACTGGAAAGCACTTCTAAAATTGTCTGCCTTCATGCCAGGTTGTGTTCCTGATCCTTGGAGAAAATGGAAGAGCAGAGACACCTCTTTACATGGCTCTGGGATTTTGTTTCCACTACCAAGGAGATTGTTTTGGGGATTGGAGGCTTCTTGCATAGAACCCCAGGAAAGATGTAGATCTTAATCACATACAAATTTAGAAGTGTTTATTTAGAATCAGTTCATGACCCCTTGAGAGAACAATAGTAAATTATTATTGGTGACGTTATTTACTTTACATGGCCTTAGCATTAAGTGAACTGCTTAAGTGAACTGCAATAAGATGAAAGAAGGAAGCTGTTGTGGGAATCATTTCAATGGGAGCCCATCTCCTGTCCAGGCCTTTATGAGCCTGTGGTACCAGATTTCATCATGGAACAGTGTCATGGAACAGTTTTTCTCCTCCCAGTTCGCCCCTCCCTAACACACATCTCATTGCTAAATCTTGAAGGAACTCCCGATAGCAACGTATTTTTTGCTAAGCACCTCTCAATGCAAGCACGAAACTTTACTTTCTGAAGAGGTTTTCTGCAATGATAAATCCCCTCTGATGCTACAAATTAATGAGCTAAAAGTGATGAATAATGGTGTGGGGGCAGGAAAAGTGTGGTAAAAGATCTGAACGTCTGCTTTCTCCAGAAGACGCTGGCCTCTGTTCTACAGACTCACTGACAGTTGTAATCAGTTAGATTTGCAATGGTTAGTCATGTCAGATAGTCAAAACTGCAAACTGTTACAAGACAGGAAAAGGTGGGCGTGAAACTGTGACTCAATAAAACATCAGCAGGCTGAGCTGAGCGTCTGCCTCTGTAACAGATAAAAAGCTCCTTTTGTTTTGCTTTGTTTTTTTTGGTCAGATTTTTCCCCCTTCTACTGAAAGCTGGGAGTATTAAATCAAAACACAAATCTTAGACAATATGTAGCAATGTGAAGTTTAATGCAATCTTTTCATAGCTTAATATGGAACAGGTTATGCGCCAGGCTTAATGGAGAACAGGTCTTTGGCTGTCAAGTCTACTGAATGGCTTTTCTTTTCAAACCAGACCATGTAAGTTCCTAAAATCTGGTTAAGAAACACATCATTTGTTACTGTGTGTGGATAGTCTTAAGACTCTGTGACTGCTTTTCCATAGCTACAGGAGTTGAGAGGCATAGACAAGGGAGGAATGTGGGAAGGGTAGCATTAAGACAGATGAGTATTGATTAGAAACTCAGTAAGCTCCAGCCACACCAAGCACATTATCTCATCGAACCTTCACCAGCTAAGACTGTCACCCCAGTTCAGGAATAAGGAAGTCTTAGCCCAGAGAAGCTTAGTAATTTACCCAAGGTCATACAATTAATAAATGAGAAAAAAATCAGGAACTAAACTCAAATCTTTCTGACCTTAAAATAAATACTTTAGGGTAGAAATGTAACTCCAAGATACAGAAATGGCATGTATAAGGCCCTGGGTTCAATTCTCCCACAGAAAAGAAGGAAGAAAAGGAAAGAAGGGGAACTGAAGAAGAGGAAGGAAAGGAGAGAGGGAGAGGAGGAAATAAGGAAAGGAAAGGAAGGGAGGGAGAAAAAACAGGGAGGGAGGAAAAGGAAAGGAAGAAGGAAGAAATAAGGAGAAAAAGGGGGGAAATAAAATGAGGGTTTTTTTTTTCTATTTTGCCACAGACTATGAAAAAAAAAATAGGTAACTCATTTCTAGGTGTGCCCAGGAAATAATAACTATAACTGGATTAGTGTAATGAATGAATCTATCTATTTTTAAGTATCACTGACTCATCACATTGTAGTTACTACATACGAGATATTACATGGGTTTAAGTAATTTATGTCAAGTACAGAGCAGAGGGTTTATTGTAAACATTAACACTGGCCAGGAGAATAAGAAAGCCAGGAGTCTAAAGTAGTCCCAGAAAACTCAAAGTCAACAGAAATGGAGATCAAAAAGTTGAGTAGGAGGCCAAGATTAAGAACTAAAAACAACGGCTGAGTCTCTGGATTCAAAGTTAATTTGAATTAAGACATTTAAAAATACTCTTCTGGGTGAGATCAGTGATCCACGTTTCTAACGGTGGCTCCAAAGGCCATGGTTGGAAGACAGCGTCCCTGGTGCTAATAATAATGCATCAAGAATGCCTATGGCTTGCTCTTCCTTAACGTCTCTAAAGGACCCGCTAGTGATGATGTCCATGAATATATCATGACTGGTTTTGAAGGTGTTCCTATTTTAAATCTTTACAAAGTTGGGATAATAAGTTTTCTATGCTGCTCCCAAAGCCAGAGAAATGTACTTCATTAGAAACAAAGCCAGATACAAAATCCATCCTTCAAGCACAAAGAATCAAAATGCTTGTAGATGAACATATGGTTCCCCTTTTTAAAACTCCTTTAGGGCTGGTGAGTTGGCTCAGTGGTGAAGAGCACTTGTTGTGGCAAAGGGCCCCGGTTTGATTCTCAGGACCCACATGGAGGCTCACAATCTCCTTAGGTGCCAGTCAAATCTGTGGTACACAGATATACATGCAGGCAAAACACTTGTACACAGAAAATAAAAATCTTAAAAATATAAATAAATGAATAAATAAGTAAAGCCTTGAGATTAAAAACAAAACAACCTGCTTTAAAAAAAAAAAAAAAAAAAAAAAAGGAAGGACGAGGGAGAAACCGTCATCTTCTGTATCTTGAGACAGGGTTTCTCTGTCCAGCTCTGGCTGTCCTGGACTTGCTTTGTAGATCAGGCTTTCCTCAAACTCATGGAAATCTGCCTGTCTCTGCCTCCCTGACTGCTGAGATTATAAGCATGGGATTATAGGTGTGTGACACCTATAAGCTCAAATTTATGATGAAAGCAAAGTCAGAAAATGCTCTTTGCATTTCTGATTAGCCCTATCCTCTGAATGCAGTGTTGACAAAACTTCCAGAAACTCTGATCTGACTCACTAATTTGTTCAACTCACTAAATTAGTTCATCTTACAATAATATATGCATTTCCTGAGTCAAGTGTTCATGTGGGCATTCATGATTTCATTAGGTAAAAAACAAAAAGTTTTCCAAATTCTACTTTCTAAAGAGATCAGTGGTGCAGGAATCCAGGATTATATTTTTAATACATAATTTTATGTGCATAGGCATTTTGCCTGCAGGTATGTCTGTCCATCATGTGTATGCCTTGTGCCCCTGGAGGTCAGAAGAGGGCATTGGAGCTCCTGGAACTAGAGTGATAGACAGTTGTGAGCAGCCATGTGGGATGCTGGTAATCAAGCCCAGGTCAGGTCCTCTTGAAGAGTGGCAAGTGCTCTTGGTGACAGAACCATCTCTCCAGTACCCAGGATTACATTTTTAACAGTGGCTCAAAGGGCTATGATGGAAAGTTACTATCCATAGCTGATCCACAAATGCCAGGCTAATGATGACACTTAAAACAAATCTTATGTGGGATGGGAAGATAGCTCCATGAGTAAAGAAGGCCCAAGTATAGATTCTCAGCACCCATGTTTAAAAAGGGGGGAGCATCAAGATGTATGTCTGTAACCCCAACACTAGAGAGGACCATGGGGAAATACAGAGCCACCAGGTCTAGTTGACACAGTAAGCTACCTGAGAGACATGTCTGGAAAAAAAGAAGTGGAAAAGAGATTAAAATAGACATCTCAGTAGCTGGGAGTGGTGGCATGGGCCTGTATTACCAGCTCTGTGAGTTTGGGGCCATTCTGGTCTATAAACCGAGTCCAGGACAGCCAAGGCTATGTGGAGAAACCCTGTCTCAAAAAAACAAAACAAACAAACAAATAAACAAAAAAACAACACAAAACAAAAGAGTCACTTCAACACCCACCTCTAAGCTCTGCATGTACTATACACAGGCACACATCCCAGCACACACATGTGAACACATTCATAATCCTCCACAGAATCCTCCACAGGCAAAGCTAATTTTATCATCCTCGGTTTCATCTAGGAACTAGTCCTGAAATATTACCCAAAGCCATATCATTTCCAATTTAGAGTTAGAAGATGCCAGAAAGAGCCAGAAGGGATAGACTGTGAGCAGGTTTGTGTCCTAAATTGACAAAACACCATGCTCTGTGCATTGTAAATGCTTTAAAAGACTTGTAAATTAAAAGCAGCAATGCTTGATGTCGAAAGAAAGGAAGCACCCCAAAGAAGGAAGGAGAAGAGAAGGAGGAAGAGGAGGAGGAGGAGGAGGAGGAGGAGGAGGAGGAGGAGGAGGAGGAATAGGAATGGTCAAAGTCACTTTAAACGCTTCTGTGTAAAATGCTAAGGAGAAGGAAGAGATATTTGAAAACCATGACTTCAAGCAAGTCTCACTGTTGTTGTAATTTATCTCGGGCATTTTTAAATGTTGTGGTCCTTCAATAATCTAGGGAGCAAAAGTTAATGGGAATATGGATGCTTTGTAAACCTAAGGCCCATTTTCAATTTCAGAGAGTCTATGCTTCCACGAGTGAAAAGGTTAAAAGAAACATGTTTATGAAACCTGTTTTGTTGTTGTTGTTGTTTGTTTTTCATTTCTTTTTAACACCATCAAAGATACATTTTGTAAAAGTTGGGAGAAAAAAATCCAGTGGGCAAAGCTTGCAAAGAAGACTTAGCAGCAGAGATGAGGATGTGTAAGAATCAAAGAGGAAGCAGGAGATGGTCTTGTAAAAAAGCAGGTCAGGCTTGAGTTTCCTGCCACTGAAAACCTGACTTATTTTCATCAAGAGCTGTCTCCTGCTGATACACTCTGTCTTTTTTCTCTCTCCACTTAAGCTTAATCTTACTGCTTCCTCTCATTCAAAGTAATATAGTAATATAAAATCTATTATTAGTGATAAATCAATTTCTCTCTCTGCACTCACCCCCTCCACCCCACCCCACCCCCAAGTCTTGAAGACAAGTCTGGACCAATTTCTCCATCCTGCCTCTGGCAGCAGACTGGAGCACTTCAGATCCTCCACCACGTCCCGACTGCTTCAAAGGAAAAATCCTACTTTCTTCAGTTAAGATCATAAGAAATATAGGGGGAGGGGGTCAGCTCTGTTTGGACATAATTACACTTCATCAAAAGAGGCTTCCTTCATCTTCCATGCGTGAAAAGTCTGCAAGCAGTTAAGTCTGTCTTTTTTTTTTTTTTAATATAAAAATTGCTATTTGGGAAACCAGCCAAAACTCAGAAAGCCAATATAGTAAAACAGTGCACACCCTTTGTTTCTTTTTGAAGTTTCTTAAATAAATATGTTGAGGGTTTACAAAGTACACTATCACTCCGCCATAGCTTCTAGTCAAATTGATCAGAAAAAAAAGGGTGATTTAGCGTCTATATAACACAAAACTGCAATAAATGAAAACACAAGTTTGGATCTGTAAAATTAAATTAAGAGCAGCACCCCATCCTTTAAATATTAAAATTCACTGCTCTGGTTACAGTAATCAAAAAAAAAAAAAAAAGATGCAACTTAGACCATACAGGTACTTCAGTATGTTTACATTTTTTTTTTTCAGGAGGAAAAAGGAAAATCTTTTAACTGTGCTGTGACTCTGTGACAGTAACTAAGAAACAAACAAAACCAGAAAGAGTAGATGAAAGAATGAGCGAGGGACTGCACACACAAGCAATCAGTCAGTAGACAGAAGCTGTGTGTCCTCATCCTGCTAATGAGGGAGTGCAGAGCCTGCCTGGGAGACAAGCCCTTTAGTTTGGTCTGTCAGAGGCTCTGAACCTCATTTTGGTTGAAACAGCCTTTCAGTGACAGCATCTCATTAGCATGCACCTTTTTTTTTTTTCCTTAAGTTAAAAAGTACTTCTTGGCCCCATTCCTAGAAAGTAACTAAAACTACTCATCGGAAACAGCCTTGCTTAAATTTCCCTTATCAAGTTTTTACAATGGTAATAATTTGACATATGATCCGAACTAGAGGGTAATTATTAGACATAGTTTAGAATGGTGTTTCTCATTTCCTGACTCAGACCCTGGCTGCAGTGAGTACACAGGCTTCACGGTTTCACCTCACCTCAGGTCTAAAGTGGTCCTGTTTGTGTTTTTTTTTCTCTTCTTAGTATAATACTTAAAATGGAAATATTATATCCAATAAACTGAATGAATATAATACTTCTGACAGGTGAATAACCAGTAGAAGTCTCTCTGGAGAATAAGTAAATAAAAAAGGTATTGATCTCCTTATAAAAATAATTGATCTCCACCAAAAAATAATAATTCCTTTTTCTGAAACAGTGGTGATAATCCTTTAAAGGACTATTTCCTGTTTTGTGATTCAGCTAAATGTTCCTAATATCTTAATGTGGATTCCGATGAATAAAAGCCCCAAATACTGTGGAACCGCTGGGATCCCGGTCAGATGTCTCAGCAATTTTATACTCCGTCTAACATAAGTAATGCACAAATTCAAATGAAAATCCTTGAGCCAGGCTTGGCGGCCTTTAACTCCAGAAGCTGAAGCAAGTGGATCTCTCTGCGTGTGAAGCCAGCCTGGTCTACACGGTAAGTTCCAAGCCAGCCAGGGCTACACAAGTAAGACCATGTCTAAAACAAACGAACAAACAAAAAAGCCTTAAAAATATTGTAATAGATTCTTCCTACAAGAATAATTGAACTCATTCACAGCTGACAAGGCTAAGGGGAGACGGTGCTCCCGCTGTCCCCATTTCAACTTAGATGACACTGTCAGGAAATGTTTCCAAAGCAATCGTTTTCCTTTCCCCATTGCCTTTCAGTCAGCTCGAGTCAGGTGACTCCTCATAATTCAGAACTTGATCCTCTGAGCATTCTTTTCTCTACTGTACATGCTAAGCCCCCCATGAAATTAGGAGCTAGTTCTTCTGAAAATACTGTTTGACTCTTCAGTATCATAAAACAAATGAAAAAAGGCCTAAATACTCAGGAAAACACTCAAGGGCATCTGGATTTATTTAAGCAAGCCTTCGGTGGGTCTGTTTCAGTAAAAAGAAGATGCTGACTTGTTACGTTCATACAGACAGGTCCGCTTGCATCAGCAAACCTAATGGCCTTACTCCACGGTCAGCATTAAGGAGAAGAGACCTACCTCGTCCACTCCGGCCCACAAATCTCAGGTCGTTGAACCTCGCTACTTGGTTTTTCATAACAGCGGAGGCATTTCGGAGCTCAGCAGAATAGTTTTCATCATTCCCTGCCATGACAGTAACCACAGTCCCATCTGGTACTTCTCCGAGGGCTACCACCTACATGAAACAGGAAATACAGAAGGAAGAGTGGCACACAAGAAACACTTAAGGACCGAGAACACATGCTCCCTGTAAATGAGGTCTTATCAGGGCCCAGGGCTGTGGTCCAGCGATGGCAGACCAGAAGGGAAGCCTCTGTACTGGGGTCATGACACCACTTCAAACACATTGATCTTTCGGGATCCACCCATTTTCGAAAGTGAGCCAAATTTGCCTTCATGTATTCTGTAGAATATATGTACATTTTTATTAAAGCCCCATGTTAGGCTGTCTGCAGGAATCATAGCTCAGAACGAAGGCTGGTGACCCAGCTGCAGATTTCGCCACACATATTAAGGTATCTCCTGCCTACCACCCAAGAGCCCTGAGGTGTGGCCTCAAGTCCGATCTTGAGCTAAAAACGGAAGAGTACTTAGGGGTACTAAGAGCCAGCTCAGGGGGTAACGTGCTCGCTGTGGAAGCATGAGGACCTGTGTTCAGATTCTCAGTACCCATGTGAAAAGGGGAGGCAGCTTGTATGAAACCCCATGGCTAGGAGGTGGAAAACAGGCCAGCTCAGGGCGCTTCACGGCCATCCACCTCAGCCTAATCTGCAAGCTCCAGGCTCCAGGAGAGGCTCCATGTCTCAAAACCTAAGGCAGAGGGCAGAAGAGGCAGCTCTCCCTGGATTAAGGGCTTTCCACTAAGTCTGATAACTTGAGTCCCATTCCTGGAACGTGAATGGTAAGAGAGAAACAATTCAGGCAAATTGACCTCTGACCTCCACATGCACATCACGGCATGCGTGGACTAGTTCATACACAAATGTGATTTTAAAAAGAGATGGAAAGCAATGGAGGAAGATATGCCAATACCAACCTCCAGCCTTCCTATGCACTCAGCGCACACACATTCACATGTGAGTCCACGTACCTACACACACACAGAGGACCTGATCAGCACTGTGAAAGAGGACTCTCAAGTCAAACTCCTGGTGCCTGGCTGAAATACTGCATAGAGATCAGGTGGGGAGGGAGGGGCTAAGTGTTCATCTTTTAACGATAACTGTGACTATCTATTGCGTATCTTCTCTGCCGCGGGCCCCAGTACAATAGTCAAAGCCAGCAAAAGAGTAAAGTCTGGGTAGAGAATAGAGACCTAGCCAAGGATGAGAATGAGTAGCAGAGTCAGGAAATATACCCCGGGGCTGGGGAGATGACTCGGTTGGTAAAATGCTAGCCCTGCGAGCAGGTGGACCAGAGTTTGTTTAGCAGAAGCCATGTCAAAAGCCAGGAGGTATGGCATATGCTTGTAATCCCAGCACTGGGGAAGCAGAACAAGGAAGATTGGGATCACCCAACCATATAATCCTAATCAACAGGTCCCAGGGCCCACGGGAGAGACATAAAAACAAAAACCCTCCAAAAGCTGACACCTAGCGTTGACCTCTGACCTTCAAACTCTGACACACACAAGCACCGGCATATAAGTAAGCACACGCTCGTGCCCACAATTCCACTTATATTTCATCTACCATGTTGGAATGACACATTTGCCCCCATAGTCTTTAACAGTTAATCTGAAATTTATCAGGCAAGATACAGGATCAGCGGTCTCCAAAGGCTAACACACAAGCGGAATCACTTCACCCCAGCTTAGCTGCCTACCTTGGCTCAACATGCAACCTTGGAGACAGAATGCCGGCCCCATCACATACGAAGCATCCTGTTTTCTGTGCACCAAGGCCCTGCTTCCCAGTGACAGTTCCCTCCTCTCGGGATGCTCTGCACGCCTGTTCCCGTTCCTTCACCTAGTGTCCAGAGATCTTGTGGTCACTTAGCAAGGGCTCCAGCTACAGCAGCAGCTTTTCAAAGCCGCTCTGTTTGTCTGTCTAGCAAACACCCCGCTTTTTTTTTTCACTTCTGCTTCTATGCTCTCCTATGTCAAAATCTCCATATAGTAAGCCTAGGTTTTCCCAAACACGCTTGGTACATATGTCCTCCTAAAAGTGCATTTCTTGTACATTGATAAACAGATATTATCTTGACAGAACTTTCCCTGCCTGTGACTCCCACCCCAAAATCTTCCCTTACCATTATAACCTCTCTCCCAGCCAGGAACACAATCAAACAAAAGAAAACCTTGCCAAGAATTTTTGTCACTCTTACTTGGCTCTTAGACTGTTTCTCAATTTCTTCAGCTTTATGCCTTGTTCAATTCAAAATCAAAAAGCTTTCTTTAAACTGTAGGACTCACATTCCCAGTGTCCCACTGTATCCCTTCGCCCTCACTTTTGCTATCCATATACATTAGTGATCAATCTCCGTTTTTACTAAACTAGCTCAATGTTTAAGGACTAGCCTTCATTTCACCTAGTTTGTTTCCATACGCCAACTCTCAAACCAATGCCTGGAATATTAGGAGGGGGGGTTTGATGGGTGTTTTTTAAATAGGACCTGGAAAGATGGCTCAGTGGGTAGTGTTAGCTATGCAAGCACGGGGGCTGACTTCAAATCCTTGGAGCCCACGACGCAAAAAGATGCAATACCAAACCCTTACTGGAGATGGGGGTGGGGGCGTACAGTTGTGAGTCATTCCGCCTGGTTCACAGCAGCAAACAGCAAAGAGACTGCCTCAGACAGGGTCGAAGACAAGGACCAATATCTGAAGTCCTTCTCTGATCAGCACATGCATGCTATGGCACTCCATTGTCTCATATGTAATGTGCATACACATGTACACAGACCCAGTTACGTGTGAGAGGGAATACGTGTGTGTGTGTGTGTGTGTGTGTGTGTGTGTGTGTACGCGTGTCTGTGTATCTGTGTGTTCGCACGTGTATGTGTATGTCTGTGTATCTATGTGTGTCCGTGTGTGTGCTGTGTGTGTTTGTGTCTATGAAACAACTAAATGAAAGAGTTCCATAAAAAGCACTGTTCTCAGAAGCCAACTGCTTTGTGGCTACCAACTCAAGGGCTAAGGGAACCAGTCACAGGATGAGTCAGCATCCCTCACCAACAGCAAAGTGTCTCTGCTGCAGACCAGCACTGCCTGGAGTACAGGGCTATTCTCAACAAAAGAAGTCTCCTGGGTCAAAAGCAAATCCCTTGAGAACAAGACTTCCTCTCTGTCACCTTGGTCTAGCAACTTGGGTGGGGCGTGGGGGGGGGGGGCAGTTACTAAAACAACTGCTGTGCTCTTGAAGGTGAGGCCTTTCTCTGGTGCCAAAAAAATGTGCACGTTTGAAAACCCAGAAATAAATGACTATGTCAGCCAGTATTCGTCTGAATATTAAGGCACGGATTGTATTTTAACACCCACTGCCTGGCTTTCTAGCAAAAAGATTATTACCAGAGGTGAGAGAGAGTTATACTATTCCAGAAGGCATCATACACACTGAAAAGCAAGAGGCTCCGCTTTTCCCCCTATCCTCCTTGCATATCTACTTCGACCCTTACCCCATTCATGTCATCGCTAAGAACCAGGGTTTTCCAATACAAGTTGGGAATAATGGTTTAAAGCTGTAGAATGTACAAGATGCCACAGAAGCACAGGGTCTCATTACAGCGATCTTGTTTTCGGTACGATAAGGAGAGGGACATTTCCAGGTCTGCTGCTCAACATGGCCTTCGGTGGCTAGCCTCCTTTAGGAGTGCCACTGAGAACATGAGCCTTCAGTTCATGGCCTCAAAGGTTCTGCGGTATTGTTGAAAGATAAAGGATTGCTCCTTGTGGGTTTCGCTCCAGTTGTGAAGTATTTCAGGAAAAGGAAAATAATAAAGAAATCTGCCTCGATTCAAAGGTCTCAAGAGCTTGGGACATTATTATTTTACTACATAGTTTTAACATAATGGACTTTTTTTTTTTTTTTTTAGTTAAAAGAGAACGAAAATTGATTCAATAATGGAAAATGTGAAAGAAACGATTCCTATGTATGAACTACATACATTCATTTTTTCTAGAGCAGCATAATAGTGATCATGTTAAATATGTTAAATATGATCATGTTAAATATCATATTTAGCAAAACACACAGTTGTGCATGCCCTCTATGACCTGGAGAACATGCCAACATACACAGTGACAATCTTTCTGGTAAGGCTGAACTCTGGTCCAATGACTAAAACACACTTTATTTTCTGCTATTCATTCTACCAGACCAGACTGACCAACATTTTTTTCTGAGGAAGGGGTGGTACATGTCTTGGGAGGGGGAGTACTATATTTAACTTTATATCAGTCAGAAGTATAATTACATGTTTGAGACTTTTTAAGTAGATGTCTGAAGCTCAAAAGTTTCCTTTGAATATTCTCAACCATGTTTGTCTAGAAAACCAAAGAATGAAGAAATTTTTACACATTTCATCTGTACCAAACCCAGGCAATGGAAAAACATTTTAAGGGGTAAAAAAGAACAATTAAAAAAAAAGTCACTCTTTAACTGGCTAGACAGAAGCATTAACTGAAATTTCTTCCATGCTACCCAACACAAAGTACCATTCTGCAAAGAATAATTTGTGATGAAATGATAATAATTACATTTCTAGGTGTGCTTAAACATACAACAAAGTTGAGAAAAGCATGAGAAAGGGAGAAGTCACTTTCTGTTTGGGCATCCCAGAATTGAGAAAGAATTTTCTTTATTTAGCGCACCCTACTGTAACCAGTATTTAAACCACACAAATGCAGCTTGTACAAACTAAAGTTAAAGAGTATTTAACTCTAGTGATGTTGAAATTTTGTCTGAGAACCATTATGACTAAATCTGGGCCTCTTCTGAACAAGGAGCGATGGCAAACTTAACTCAGACCCCTGTTCCTGTGGTCTTGCCAGACTGGAAGTTTAAAATTGCCCATGACATTTCCATGGACAGCATTTTAGTCTAAGCTAATCAATTACTCTTACAGATTAACATTATTTTGGCATATTGCATGCAGTAAAATGAAATATAATTATTTTAAGATAAAATCTGATCTTATCTTTCTTTGTAATGAAGAGAGAGGTAGCTCAGTAATTGCAAGAAGCAAAAACAAAAAAACTATCTTTTTAAAGTAAACGATAGAAAAAATTCAACAAATGCTATACTGTGGTTTTAGAACTTAATTCAGGAAGACTTCCTCAACTCAGAAGAAAAAAAAGTCAATTGAATTATAAAATAAAAACAAATACAAGATATCGTCTCAAAAAGTTTAAATATATGTCCAACAAAAAAATTGACAAAACTTTTTTCAGTTTAAGCCAGTGATCTACGTGCCAGTAATCACAATGGCTTAGGTCATCTAGTAATGGATAGTCTAGAAACTCTGAAAACACACAATCAGTGATGCCAAAAATGAAAAGACAAAGAAGGACACCTCAAATATAAGTTTTCCAAAGTTTAAAAAAGTAAGTATTTTCTATCCAAAATTTATTTTAACTTATTAGTAAGTTACATATAGTCAGCCCCACAATATTTATCTTTAGATGAGTTTAACACCTGTCTTCATACATGTACTATGATTGACACAATTTTGCAAAGACAGTTTGTATTAGGCTTAATAAAGATTTGACAAGCTTAATGATAGCTTCTCTTCTTAAGCTATAATTAGATTTTTTTTAAAGATACGAACAAAATCTGATCATTAAACATTTAAGAAAGATATAACTCACTAACACAAAGTATGTATAAGTTGCAAAACTGCTTTTAAAGGGAAAAAAAAAAAAGCCAGTAATGTCAAATCATTCTCAAATAGAAACTGCATCATCATTTGAAAACTTCATCAACACTGAAAGATTATATTGAAAATAAAAAGTCAACTGTGAGTACTTGGTCATACATCTAAACATGTTTTTTTTTCTTTAACATTACTAAAAAAATGTGTGATAGTGGTGACTATATGTGGTCGCATGTTCTCTAACTTAAAACAGTGATACGGGCCTACACGACTTTGAGTTTTAAGATATACATCTGGGTGTCAGCACAGTGTTTCAGCTTGAAGCTATTTGAGGCAACTTAGTTATGAACCCTGAACACCAGGCTTCTCGGTGGAGATGCTGACAGGCCCCTAACTCAAAGGGGGCTACTGGCACAGTTGACACATTCTATACACTCTGTCTACCAGACTAACCCTCAGCTACTGAGCTGAATTTGCAAATTGCTTTGTCCTGGCCCTGAAATCCTCTGTGACAGAAAGGGCCTAGCATCCTCCAATAGAAGGCCTAAACTATTTTAAGGTTTCAGTGAGATACACCTGAAAGAAATGTTAAAAATATTTATTTCCATTTCCTTGACACCTGAAAGGACTCACTGTTTCTAAAGTACAGACCCTTGGTAAAAGTACAATGGTCATAAATAACTACGTGAAGGCCGCTAGCCGTTTTGTATTTTACATGTCCAATATAACTGAAATAAGGACTCTTTTAAAATTTCCAAATTATGTTACACGAACAATACCAATAAATACCAATACCAATAAATACCTTTTAATACAATCCACTGTCAAGATCATGTTGAAATGTTGTTTTAAATTAAAAGATATCAAAACCGTCTACTGAACTTATTTCTGGCTGACTGCAGTCAGTTTTGTGTAAATACTGTGTTGATTTGAACACTAGATTTCTCAACAAATTTGTCTTTTCCTCTCAGTCAGGGTGGGGGTGTTTTACGGGCGTTTAGCTCTCTGCTTCCTACCTAACAATACTATAACTTATTTTGTACATGATTCTGGGTATGATAGCCAAATTGCTGTCACCACATTTGAAACGGGGACTTCTTCATACCATTTCTTCGGTGCAGATGTATTTGATTATGTTGAGAGAATATAAGAAGCCTGCTACGCTCATGCTTTTATTCCCAAAGCACGCTGTCTTTAAAAGGATGTTGTTACATCACTGAAATGAAAATTATAAAAGTTGCTGTCAAAATCTGAACCTCCAGATATCCATATTTTTAAAGAGGAGAGATGAAACTATTAGGCGTGAGTCTCTATGATTACCCACTCTTTGAATCCATTACACAGATGGAAAGAACACAGACAGTCAGTCCCTAGGTTAACTCAATTTATTACAAATTTAAATATTATAATAAGCCCTATGTTATCCATGGCCTGTTCACTGGTTAAAATAAGGGGGGAAATGCACTCTGTGATTAGCATGCTTAACAATAAAGAAATAAATTCATTTTCATAATAGTTTTAGGAACTAGTTAGACAATCCAGGTTTGAAATCCAAGAAAAGTTCAAACTGAATCGCATTTCATCTTTACACCCAAATCTTTTCCCAGAAGAATACTTGTGCCCAAAGTCAATGCAGCATTTAAAGTGAACAGTTCAAGACAGTTCTGTCCTGAGCACAGTCCGCACCAGGGGGTTCGAACACTAGACATTGGATTAATGAGGTTAAATCTTTACACTTTAAGGCATGCCCTTGCATTATACAAAACATCTACTCGTTTGAAATTTTTCGCTACTTTCGTTCAGGTTCGGGAAAAGACTTTTGCTTGGTTTTGTTAAAATGGTGTCTACCCTCACAGAGGCTGCCTAGATAATTCTGAGCCCTTGGCTGATAAATGTTCTAAAAGATACCTCTCATATGGAAATATCATTTTCTACAATTTCACCTATATCTGACCTTTCCACATGAATCTACAAAATGGATGCTCTCGAAAGAGGAATTTTTTTAAGGACCACTGGTTGATCCAACTACAAAATGAAACTTGCGCTAGAATGCAACGCACACCTCCTCCATAATAATCCATTCAGATTTCTGTTCAGATAGAAGACCTAAAGAGATAAGTGCTCTAATTGACCTGGACCACCCACACATGGAATCTGAATTGCTGCGTGGGGTACCCGGTGATCAACAACTGGGAAATGCAAGGGGCCCCGTGGGAGTTTGGCACCGGAGTCCAAGATGAAGGAACTGGCGCAATTCCTCTTTTTTTTTTTTTTTTTTCTTCTTCTTCTTTTTCCCCTCTCTCCCTTTCCTTCCCTCTGTCCACTGATGCCTGGTCCCAGGCCCACCCGCTAGAGCTGGAGGTGCCCTTGGACTTATCTCTCTTGCTGGCTCACCCCTCTCCATCCTATCTCTGTCTTCTAGACTAGCGAGAGGGGACACCCATCCACCCAGCAGTTTCTTCTGGGGTGGGGTTGGGGGGTGCTCCGCACCACCGCCACCGTCTCGGTCTCCGGAACCCCAACTGCATCACGGATAAGGCCAGAGGCTGGGGGCCCATACACCTCCAACCTGCCACGACTCCCTCAGCTACCTGTGCTGGCAAGCTAACGGATTCAGGCGAAGGAGGCCGCGGGGGGCACACCTTAGAACCCAGGCCTCGGGCGGGAGCCATGCACAGACCTTTCTAAGAAGGGACGTGGGGCGGGGGAGGGGGTCCGGCTCTCTCGAGGCAATAAAGTTTTCGCCTCCGTTTTCATTCCGACCAGCCTAAGTGGCTCCACAGGATTCCCTCTCCCTCCCGTGCGGAGCGAGGCGGGAGGAGGCGGCCTCAACCCCGGTCCCCTTTCCCCGACGCTCACTCCAGCCCTCGGGGACCCAGCGCCCTGAACCCCGCAGCTACCGGGCCTCGCTAAAAGCCGAGACCCCGACGGCCCCGCCTTCCTCCAAGTAACGGGAACTCGAGCCCGCCAAGGAGGGCGCGGACGTCCCCGTCCGTCCCCGCTGTCCCGCAGCCATCCCCAAGTTTGCTGGGCACCCTCAGCCCACGCGCCGTGGCTGGCACCTCATCCCGCCCCGGGGCGCAAGCGTCCTCCGGGGCCGGCGCCCTGAAGGCACCTAACCGGGAAGGGGACGCTTGGCCCGGAGTAGCGGCCTGCGGCTGGGGACAGGGTGCGCGGAGGAGCGCGTGGGATCCCAGAGAGAGAAGGCCGGAATGCCCGGGAGGAGTGCGGGGGACCCGCGCCACGGGGGAGGGGGGCGGGGTGAAGCCTGAGGCTGGAGGCTCGCGGTGGGCACCTCGGGGCGTCTGGGGCTGAGGAGCCCCGGCAGGGGAACGGGCAAGGTGGCTGCCCGGGAGCCTGGAAGGATGAGCAGGCGAGGCTGGGATGGTAGTGGGCGCAGGTGAGAAGGGGATCGCGACGGGGGGGGGTGTCACCTTGGCACCCCGAGTCGCGGCCACCGAGGCTGGAGTGTTGGAGGACCCCCGTGGGCACCGAGCCCCCTGGCGGGCAGCCTCCGCGGGAGCCCCGGCCACGGGCGGGGGGTGGCCAGCCTCTTACCTTGAAGGCCACGGGCAGGGTCTTGTTGCAGCGCCAGTGCGAGGGCAGCACGGAGCACAGAAAGTTGGGGCTGTCGGTGCGGACCAGCTCGGCGGGGTGGTCGGCGATGATCTCCACCATGGTGCGGTTGTCGTGCGGCGGCCTCAACCGGGGCACCGCCGCCGCCGCCGCCGCCGCCGCCGCCTCCTGCTGCTGCTGTTGCTGCTGTTGCTGCTGCTGCTGCTGCTGCTGCTGCTGCTGCTGCTGCGCAGCCACCACCGGGCTCACGTCGCTCATCTTGCCGGGCTGCAGGCTGCTGGAGGGGGGGCTGAAGCGCCGGCTGGTGCTCGGATCTACGGGAATACGCATCACAACAGCCACAAGTTAGCGAAGTGGCCGGGGGAGGGGGAGGAGGGTGGAAATGGGGGGCGAGGAGGAGGAAATGGAGGGGGGGGAGGCGGGGCCTGGGGGGTGGTCGGGGGGGTGGGGGGAGATAGAGGACGGAGGTGACGGGACTGAGGAGGTGAGAAATCAAGTTCGAGGAAGCCGACTGCCGGGGCGGGCGGAGTCTGCCGGGGGGCCGGCGGCTGGCGACCAGACGCAGCTGGGCTTGGCGGGTGGGGACACCGGAGAGGCGCAGATCCCCGCGGGGAGGCTCGGGAGCCCCGGCGGGGGCCGCTGCGAGCGGGGCGCGGGGGCGTGTTTGGCCCGGCCGAGGCGGGGGACTTGCAGTTAGCAGCAGCTCGCGGTGTGGGGGTGCCCCCCTGGGGCGCCGCGTCCTGGGTGCGCCCCTGGGCGCCCCGCTCCCCGTTCCAGTTGGGCCGCGGAGCCCGGCAGGTTCAGGAGTCCATCCGGGCGCTCCGGGCGGCCCCGCGCTCCCCGCCACCTCCGAGGCGGCCGCGGCTGCCCGGCCTCTGGCGCCGCCGCCGGCCCGCGCCGCCGCCTCCTCCCGCCGCGGCTGCTCCGAGGCCG